AACTTTAAAAATACTGTTCTTTTTTTACTTGTTTCTTTACACTTACACCTTGTACCCAATGGGAAGTAGATCTTTTTTCATGAGAGACAGTGGCACAGGGCCATTAATTTATGTTTATAGAATGGTATATTTTAAACTCTGCATGCACACATACAACATTCATTTTTTAAAAGTCACAAGTTTTGCAGGTATGTCATGAAGCCTAGAAGATATGTTGTCCGCACACCATTCTACTTCAGAATGTCATCTTTATTCGTATTACTTTAGCATGACATGTTTGCAATGTTTCGGAGCCTTACAGGACCCCTTTGTCAGGCAAAGTGTCCCCTCGGTGTATGCGATGATCTCGGTATCGATGTTCCTCAAATCTGCTGTTGTCTTGTCCTTATCGGCAGTTTTCTCTTGTAAGTTCAGTTTCAGAGCAGTGATTTCCCTATTCACCTGGCAAAGGTGTGCTTTGATTTCTTCTATCACAATTAACATGTAATTAAGGGAGTTTTGTGTGGAGACCTCGCATCACTTATCACAAAATTCACATTTGTGTCTCCTAATTGTTGGTTGATTCTTGATGCAGAATCCTCTCGGTATTTTGCGGACTCTGTAATACTCTGAAAGAGTTTGTGTAATTCCAGATTTGTGTGTTTCTTTTTACGTCTTTTGATCTCTTTTAGTAGATCAGTGACAGTCCCGGTACCAAATGCTTTGGTTGTATCAGATGGGAATAGAATCGCTTCAATCTCTTCAGTGTTTTAGATGCTTCCTGTTGCTTGTGGAGTTTGTGAACTGGGTATATTATCATTCCCTTAGTTATCTATGTGTTTGTCAGCTTCACTGTTCGTCTGTAATCTGATGCACACTGGAAATAAATGCCTGTTAGGTTGGGGAGTTGTAGTTTCCACAGGGGTGCTGATCAAGGGTCTTGCAACAACATATGTCTTTGTAATATCCCCTTCGCACACCGTACCGTTATATCCCGGAATCCGACGGGTGCTAGAACAACTGGTGGATGGCGCCACAGGATACAATCCAGAAGATATGTTGTCCGCACACCATTCTGCTTCAGAATGTCATCTTTATTCGTATTCCTTTAGCATGACATGCGAATGCAACGTTTTCCGGAGCCTCACAGGACCCCTGCGTCAGGCAAATTGCCCACTGACACCTCGCCTGACGAAGGGGTCCTGTGAGGCTCCGGAAAACATTGCATTCACATGTCATGCTAAAATAATATGAATAAAGATGACATTCTGAAGCAGAATGGTGTGCGGACAACATATCTTCTAGATTGTATGCTGTGGCGCCATCTACCAGTTTTTCCAGCACCCGTCGGATTCAGTGGTATAACGCTACGGTGTGCGAAGGGGATATTACAATGTCTTGAAGCCTAGCTCCTTTAAAGTAGATGTAAACCCTAATTGAATAACAGTTTTCTAAAGCACCCTTAATAAAAGCTGCAGATTTAAAAATATTGCAAATGACTTGCGTTATAACTTATATGAATCTTTAGTGATTGGGTTTACCTATATTTCAAGAATTGTGCGGTGGTAGACCTGAATGAAATGTCTTCCCACATGTCATGTCTTTCTGTCACTAGAAACTCTGCATACTGCAAGTCCAGGTGGCAAGGCCCAACATTTTCATGAGATATTATACCCTTTACCCAGTCACATTTAAATGTTCACAACATTTTGTAAATTGACCCCAATGTAGATGGCCATGAACCTTGACCTAGTAACACAGACAGATTTCTGGTTCATTAGATTTTTTGAAGCCTGCTCATTACAATAAATTGTAACTTTGCTGCTGGACTGTGTTCTAATCTCTGCATAATGTACAATAAGAGGTCTGCATTACCATTCAGCTGATTGACTAAGAACACAGACATGTTCATGTGTGACATAAGAAGGTCACTAGAGAAATGTCTTTCTTTAACCATGAAAGTTGAGTACAGACTCAGTCAACACTGCCTCACAACTCTGACATTTCGCATTAGTCTGACCTTCCTGTAACATATATTTCAGACTTATAATTACAGCCATGGAAACAGTGAGGGAAGAAATGTAACAACTACTGACATCCACCCTTACTCTCAATAGAAATGCATCTAGTTTAGCATTTTTTGCAGTCTGAACATGAAACTATTTTGCACATCTCAACGTATGCTTTTGTGATTTACTGTGCATATGGATAAGGCTTAAATCTGAAGCACCTATTCTCAGCCAGGGGTGCCTTCTGGATTCTTCAAAGGTGCCATGACATTTTCACACAGCGTCATGCATTTCCATGGTACAGGTGGGCCAACCACCAGAACCATGGAAATGCATGGGCGGGATCTATTACTATATAGAATAAGGGTTAGACCTAGTTCATTCTGTAATTTGCACTTGTTAACACTTGATCAGACGCATCCTTCTCTGCAGTACAATTTGTGTGAAGATACTTGTGATATGGCTGTTACTCGGGTTTACCTGTACTGGAGAGAGAGTAGTAAGCCAACATTTTACTGAGGGAAATCGGGCAGAACACAAAATGAATAATTCTAACATTATTATAAATCACAGTACTATGAGGATATAAATAGTTTAGACTTCACTTGGGCTTTAACTAGCCAGTTTACAACGCATGCAGACAGCGTTGTTTTCTTTTTAGTGCATTTATATATATATGGTGGGCCCTCCCTGCCCCCAGCCTCCCTGCCAGTCTTATACTCACCTGTCCCAGTGAGTTATCACTTACTAAACTGCACTGCTGCTTGTGAAAAGTTTCCCCGAAAGGTGCAGTTACACTTTAAAAACAAAAAGTGTATGCACATGTTGTACTTGGTAGACATACCCATTACGAGTTTATGTCATCAACATCTTAACCATAGATCAAAAAAGCTTAATCTTTTTTAGGGTATCTTAGACCTAATAGTAGCTGTAAACATAATGACCATCATGAGATCAGTCCAGATCACTAGAAGATTTAACGTGGTATGTTATCTGTTTTGTATTGATCAGCTTAGGATTTAACTTGCTGTCCCTTTTAACAGAAAAAAGTTCTGCTTTATTCATTTTGACATTTAGCTGAGTATGCCAAAATGGATAGGAGCAAATACTCTGTGGCTTTTGTAAGATTTCCAAAGTGGGACACAAATTCCGTTCTAGCCTATGACAGCTTGGAGCTACCGGTAGTTAATATTTTGAATGACTTGCCAAAGACAAATAAAAAAAGTGTTCATATTCGTATTGAAATTGGTATGCCAGGTTTTATTATTATTATTTGGGGGTTTTTTTAACATAAATAAGGCTTACAGCTAAATACATTTTAGTAGCTTTACCAGGGTGTGATCTATTTTATATGTCACTATCTTGTCTTAGCAGTAGGTTGTGAAATTGCAGAGATGCAGTTTATGCTGAGATTAATGGCATGAGTTACTTCTTTGTTATGCAGCATAGCAGATGACTGGAGATTCACAAGTTTTAGTTTTTTTAATTTAATTGGTGAAGATAGTCAACAGTTCTGTGGATAAATATACTAATAAAGGACTTTTACACTGCATGCGGAAACTGACTCTCTGGCAGTCTGTTCATAAGCAATTGCTACACCATTTGCTCACTGGTGTTTATGCTATTTTCCTGGAATAAAGCTGGTAAGATGGTCAGATGTCTTTCTGCCAACAAAAGACTAGAAGACTTCTGCCTTTATATCCTTTGTAACTACAGTATCTACCACTATTTCTTTTGCAACATGCCCTAAGCAGTGAAGGGTGCATGGATAGTTCAGTGTTGAAAAGAGAGAAGTACTGCTTAATTGCACAGATAATTATGGGAAGACTGTGTGAGCAACCATGAAGACTTGCACTGACTTGAAGCACTCATTATTGCCCTTAGAGTGGCCCAAAAAGGCACAACCCTCACCCTGGGGCTGCAGGATTGGCTCATTTATTACCTTAATCTGCAGACACACTGTGACTATTAGAACTGGATACCAGAACAGTTTAAAAACAGTACAATCTGCAGTCAGCTGCTTTGCAAAACCAAGCTCAAACTACTGCAAATTACTTACAGGCCACTGATAAAAAGGTGTTTTTATTATAGCCTAGCAGTGGACCTTAGTAACAAAGGTCCTCAAACTCCATAGCTAGAAAGCAGAAAAACTGCTATTGGAGAAAGTGAACTAAGCAGGTACATAATATAGGGATCATCTTTGAAATATAGGTGAAAGAGTTTTTCTTACACCTTTGGCTATGTGATATATTACGGTATTTTTTTGCTTGATCACATCTCTAACAAGCAGATGTGTCTGTGTTGCATTTCTGCATTGCTGCTAAATTGCAATTACTTTCAAAGTAGTATGAGATTCAGGCCTTGCATTTATACAGCCAGGTAGGTATGTTTGGGAGTATAATCTGGTTTTAAAGTAGAGTAGACTAAAAGTACTTTGAGGTCGGCAGATTAGTCTTCTGCAACTGGAAAAGAGTTAATCTGAACACATGCAGCAGTACAAGACACTTACATAATCCGTTTAGTTGCCATTGACATCATAAACCACAACTACTTTTGCTTGTGTTTGTCTTACTTGATTCATTTGAATCTGTTTAGTCTGACAATGATTTTACCAAACACATAGGCATTTATCAAACTGTTCATCGGTAGCAGCAGCAAAGGCAAGAATACATCCAAGTAAGATTTTTTGCTTTGATTATTACAAATCCATGGAGCCCTTGGGTCCAAAGCTTCTTCAGCAACATGGCTATTTGCAAATAGACTTTTATAGCACATTAGTACTGGAGGAGATTCCAAAGAAAATAGTTCTTTTGAATATTAGAACCAGCTGTGACTTTCTTATGCTGATGACTCATACTTTTTTTTTTTATTGGGTGGGAGATTGAGGCAAAAGACACACAGAGTCTTATTCAAGACGTTGTTTGTTTTGCAAGGGGTATCCTAGCCACAAGCCAACTTGATCTTACCGAAATGCAACTCATGTTTATTTAATTTTTTCTTCTCTCCTAACAGTTCCAATTATAAAAACAGAGCCCACTGATGACTATGAGTCAGCTCAAACTTGTGGCCCAGTGAACCAGGGATTAACGCAACTCTCAAAGCCATACTACAGCCAACAGATTTTGATGCCATCTGATCCTGGTTCGTGCCTTGTGTCTGGCTTCACATCTTGTCAACAAAGAAACACTGTGATGACATCTTCCAATTCAAGCCACAAGCTCCATGACCTATCATCTTCACCGTACAACAAATGCATCTCGAATACTGGCCACTCCCAGCTAGGACTTCAGCAGCCCACTGGAGGCGTTCCCACCATACAGGAAGTGCCACGGTCTATAGTTGTGCACCCAAGTTCACCCGATCAGTCATCCCACATCATGCTGCAGCCGCAGGTGAGTCTCCATCAGAGCAGTAGCTGTCCCCTTGGTTATCAACAAACAGTCTATCCCAACAGTCCCTCTTCTCCAGTTCCGTCTATTACCCAAGAGCCATCCTATTTGCAGCCCTGCAGTCCAACTAATTCATCAGTAATGGGCCAACCGCAGCACCAACAGCAGAAGGTTCAGAGAAATGAATCTCCAACCACTCAACCTCTGTCACTGCCAGAGTTGCATGAGGACAGTAATCATAATTTGGCCCCTATTCCTGTAACCATCAAGTGTGAGCCTGAGGAATTGGATCAGTTGTACTTGGATGATGGTAAGTGTTCTACAGCTGTTGAGGCATTCATTCCGCTATATTGCTGTATCAGTAAGTTCTTTATTAACCAGATGCTTTCAGGAGCCATCATAAATTAACAGCACTAAGAACTGGTGCAGAAATATGTCCATTTAAAATTAATAAATATAAAAAAGGGAATTGAAAAGGTTCCTAATGTAGCATTTCTCATACTGTGTATTTTAAGCATTAAGTGCCTTTCGTAACCACAGAGGTAGCTTAACCATCACTTTCTACACAAAAGTAATTGCAACCATATGCTCTTAGCTCATGCAGGTGATTTGATAAGTCTGAGTGGAAGTACAATAAAATGTCTAGCAATGCACCGTCTAGCTGTACACTGCAAATCCCTCTAGCAGTAAATACATGTCACGTCAATGTGACTTGACTGCATTAGCCACTGTATTTTACAGATTGTGTAATATAGCAATAGTGAAACTTTCATTATATTGTTAATTGAAAAAAATACCTTTCTTTTTTATGGAATATATTAAAATGCATGGTTATGATTATTTTACATTTATATATAAGGTAACAGAAAATATGAATCTATTGAGATGGTAATATCCACATATAGGGGGAATTTATCAAAACTGGAGCAGATTTCGATGGAAACCAATCAGTTTCTGTCTTTTATTTTCAAAGCTTAACTGAACAAACTGAAGAGAGAAGCTGATTGGTTGTTGTGGCACCTGCTCCACATTCTGTCTGCTCCAGTTTTGATATATTCCCCCCATGGTATTTTTTTTTAGGATAAAGAAGATTCAAACTTTGCATTTGAATTCTTGGGGAGGTGTGCTTCTGTTCATATTTTCTCAGCAGTCCATTTTTAAAGACATATTATAGCCTGACCAAGTATATAAAGTTTTGTGGCTGCAAATCCAGATTACTCCTTCAGCACACTCCATCTTTTACTGGGGAAATGACAAGGTGCAGGTGAGTGGAGCCTCTATGTATTAGTTTGTTGGAAGAAGTTATTCAATTCTCAAATACCAGACTCCTGTTGGATGACTTCTTCTGAACTACATTATACATGTGTACCACTGATTTGATTAGGAAGCAGTAGTACTCTAAACATGAGGAAAATCAGACCGGACCATGTTGAAATCTGAAACCAAAGGTATGCTATATATGTTAAGTGCCATAAGGTATTTGAGAAAATTATAGTGCTTCATGTCTCATTTGATATATTTTTCCGAAGATTAGTATAGATCAATAAGATAAGATTTGCAGCTAAGGCATCATAGGAAAGATGATTGTTACCTCATCCTTCTAGTTTTGGTAGGATTGGGTACTGTGGGAGCAGATATCTCAGACAAATAGAATATATTAGGTAGATTGATGTTTCGTCCTCAGGACAAGAACGGCACACGGCTGTGTGCATGGACTTGCGTGTTTGTGTTACATAACCCTTTGAAAGGAAGATCTTGCACTGGTCAAACCATACTTTCACATTTCTCCAATGTGTGTCTTTTTTGGTCAACTTTAGGTCCTCAGAAATAAATACTTTAGAATATCACTATAATATCAACCCTCTGTTCTCTGTCATCTGACATATTACTCAAAATACATACAAATATTTACATTGTATTTATGGTAATGATGTCTGTTGCTATAGCTTTCCTGTGTGCATCATAGTAGTTGCTGTTACAGAGTTGTATGGCTGCATAAAAGGAAAATGAAAAATGTAGATCTGCCACTGAACAAGTTGTCAGGCTTTGGCTCCCAACGATTTATTGGGATATTTTGAAAGGTTAATCTGAAATGTGATTATGTGACCTCACTGAGTTGTGATTTAGCACTCACCACAGTGTATCCCAAAGAACCTCGACCCTTTGAGTTACTATGATACATGAGCTCTCGATTTTGAATGGGATCATAGTTTACAATTGACTTGCCTGCTTTAACTAATTGGTGTCAAGCAACATCTGAATCTGATTGTCTTTCAGTAATATATATATATTACAAAAGTTCACTGTGTCTTTTGTAAGAATTTTCCATACACACTAAACCTTCACCATTCAAATGGAATTAGGTAAAACAAAAAGATGGTGAGGACCTGGGAGTGAGTAAAAAGAGCACCTTTTTATTATGCAGACAAAATAAATTATCTTATTGCTACAGCTGCAAAGTTCAATAAAAGTGTCAGACTTTTTAATTCTTTAGTTCAGTTTGGGATATAATCCCTCAAATCTTACTAATGAATTTTGCTAATTGAAAACAGCTTCAGTGATTACATCTATGAATAAATTACAATGTAGTCTAGCGGCCTGTGGCTTTTCAAGCTGGCATACATACGTTTCAAAATGGCAGATAAGAGTACATAGTGTGATCCAGTTTATGATACAAGGCTACAGCTGCCATTTACAGCCATTGTTTTGACATCTGTCGCTTTATTGTTATCTTAAAGGAGAATTATGGGGGGAGTGAAATACAGTCATCGCCATAATTAGAGCTGACATGTGACACTGCAGCTGTCACACGTCGGCTCTATAGATCAAGAAATGAGCGATTACATACCGCTGATCACTCAGTTCATGATCTACTCTCTGCAGAGAGCAGTAAACTGTCACTCAACGCTCCCTGCAGGGATCCCTTCTCAAAATTGTCACGATCTTTCCCGACAGCGTAGCTCTGAGCAGTCGGCATATAGCATGCAATAGCCCAATATTTGCTGAGTTTTGGGTTCACAGAATGATGTTAAAGGAGAACTATGAGGTGAGTGCTTTTCACTCACCTCATAGTTCTAGCCGACCTGTGACAATGAGACTGTCACAGGTCGGCTCAGTAGATCGGAAGGGGAGTGAACACATACTGGCGTTAGTTCACCTCTCGATCCTGTCACAGCTCTCTGCCGTGACAGGGGAGGGGCTGGATTCCCCCCGCTCCGATCGCCAGCTCTGACTGGCGGATCGGACGGGGGAGGGGGCGGGTACAGCTGGCTCTGCCTCTAGATAGGCAGAGCCAGCTGTCACTCACGCAGCTGGGCGGATCCAGACATAATTGTGGCGCCTCAGTATATCGCGAGCTGTAGCTCGCGGTATACTGAGCTTAGGGTGACGGGAGGACGCTAGTTTGTGTCCTCCCGTTACCCTAAGGAGAACTATGGGGAAAAGCCTTAACCCCATAGTTCTCCTTTAATAAATGTCCTCCATTGACCCTAAAGAGAACTATAGCCAAAAAAGGTTAGACCATAGTTCTCTTTTAAAGTGGAACTAGACCCACCAATTTAATGTCTCCCAAAACAGTGTCTTTCAAGGCATGCCACTGTCAAGGTTGCCAGCATGCATATTTCCGCACTCTACCGAACTTTCAATCCCTCACATAGCTGGTGTCATAGCTGATCACATGTGCAGCACCATGGCAACTGCAATCCAAATAGAGGCTTAGATGGTGCATTCCTTGGCTGTAAAGGATACGTGGGTGTAGTTTAATTTTAGGGGGTTTAAATCTGATGCAGACCTGAGGCCTCCACAGAAAACAACTACCCTAATTTTTCAATATGTCTTCATATATATTGTCAACTTGTCCATTGTTTAGGGTGGGTATGTCTTTGTTGATGGCAACATTAAGATTTAATATAAGGTTAACTCCCCTATTAAAAAAGTGTACTAACATATATCATGGCCACACAAGCTTTTCGATAATTTAAAGTGTATGGATTTTATATTTTGGATAAAGCAGGGAAGGGTTAAAACCCCTCTTTTGTATTTTCTGCTGTCAGTGCCCCTTCACTTCCTGTCCCAGAACCACAATGGGAAGTGAGAGTTAAACTCTTAATCTCTACAACGTGAAGGGAATTCCCCTCTTAGACATCTGTTGCCAGAACAGGTATCCCCATTCATAGATTCCCCTCATCTCTTGTTGTAGTGACAACTCTAACATTTTGGATTTCCCATAACTTTCTGTCCCGGTGACAAAAGCACCAGAACTAATAGATAAGGTAAATCTTTAAAAAAAAACCATAAGGAAGTTCTAATACTTCCCTAGCTTGTTTAAAACTTAAAAAAATTTCCATACAGTGTATGGCTATACACACACTGTGATGTTATTACTACACTATAACTTCCAAATATGTTTTTTTTTTAATTGTATGTGAATACAGCTGCGTTAAAAGGGCTCTTTTTAAAGCCATTTCCTGCCCATGTGATTGGCTCACTGCTCTTCCCTGTTGTTCTCTTATAACAACACTGGGATTGATCATATGACATGAGCTAGGCAGCCCCTTCAACTCAACACACAGAAAAGAGGACGTAAATGGAATGACATGCGATTTTCAACCGCGGACAGCAGAAGAGTCTTCAATAACATTTCCTAAAATGCTTGCAATGTATATAACTCATATGAAGAGGATTGTGTTCCCCAACAGAAGTGTAGTTCTATTTTAAATCTGTTTCCACCTGTCAGTTTCAAGTGTGGACATTAAAGTATATCTAAAGCCCAAACCTTTTTTTTTTTTTTATAAAGAGTAACCCCTGTTAGTGTTGTAATGCCATTTGTGTGCCACTGGGGAGATTTACCTTCTCCATGTCTTGGAGACTTGGCAATATGTGAAGGATATCTCAAAAGTGAGAGAAATGCACTAGATTATCTGCAGATTTTCTATGGTCAGATGGAAAAAGTGCAACAGATTCCTCTAGCTACGTTAACCTGTGTGGATGGAGAAATCTCCCACTTAACTAAGCTTCAGTATCTTGCTAGTCGGCCCCTCTGGCTCTCAAAATACCTGAACAATGCCTGCATCCAGTAAGATTGTTCAGGTATTTTGAGAGCCAGCAGGGCCGACTAGCAAGATACTGAAGCTTGGCCAGCGGGAGATTGCTCCATCCACACAGTTTAGTGTAGATGGAGGAATCTGTTGCACTTTTTCCATCCATAGAAGATCTGCAGATAATCTACAGTTGCATGGCCAGCTTACGACAATTGTCACCGAAACAAGTGTCCCAATTGGAAGACTTCCCCTCTGTTCTTCTAATGACAAC